CGGCCTGGGGCACCGGCTCGTCCCGGCCATCCTTGGGCACACATGTGTGCGTGTGTGTGTGTGCAGGTCAGCATCCAGCAGATCCTAGAAAAAACCTTTGGCAGCTCATGAAAAAGGCACCAGAAAAATGTAAGAAAAGCAATGCAAAAATTTATATTTTATTTTAATTCAAAAATTTAAAATAGCTTTCAAATTCAGGAAAGGATGCCTGGACACAATGAAAAGCCTCATATACAGAGACAGATAAATTAAATTGTATATACTGCAGACAAGCCAAGTGTATGTATAGATTACATATTTACACTTTTATGTAAACCATATTTATACATTTTATTACATTTACAAAAAAAAGCTGATCTTCCACTACTGTTTACTACAATAATGAAAAAAAATTTACATTGTGTCTTTTTTTAACTGTACAAACTTTTGATTCATAAAAATATATCTCTGTACAAAAGAGGGATTTTTTTTTTCCTTTTTTTTTTCCCTTTTTTTTCTTTTTTTTTTTCTTTTTAAACATAATGCAAGTCCTCTGGGCACAAGAATGGAGAATGTCACGTTATAGGGTCCCAGCCAGCTTGCAAAAAAATGGGACAACACCTCCTCCATCTTCCTTTGTTGCTTGGGCAACAGCAGAGAATAATGGTACCTAATGGGCTGAGAGCAGCAGGTCTGGTTTAAGCAGAGCTGCCCTTCTCCTGCCTCGCTGTTAAAATATCTTGGGTTTGTTTTACACTCCTAGACACGAGCTTCTCCTGGCTATTCCGCTGATCCAGCGGGATTCGGAACGGTCCGAAAAGCAGACGTGGGATCTGCTGCTGCTGCGTGTCCGTCCCTGCCCTCCGCTCGCCCGGGGCTCAGCACCCTCCAGCTGGGAGAGGACTTTCTTGAGCTCAGAGGTAGGAGCCTGGAAGAGTCAAGCTCTGCTGTTGTGGGACACTGGGAGGTGTTTGGAGTTTTGGGCACTGAAAGAGGAGCCAGGATGCCGAAATCGTCAGCACCGGAGCACCAGGGACTGCAAAGGACACTGCCTTCGGGATCTGCTGCCCAAGGGAGCCCGGTCCCTTGGCTGCATTACAGGGCGGGACAATGGGCTGCGGGTTCAGCCAAGGGCATGAATCACAAAATAATTTAGGTTGGAAGGGACTTTGGGGTCAAATATGGCCCAGGAGAGCAGACCTGAAGGTAGGAACCAGCTGCACTCAGAGATGCAAGCGAAGGAACCTGGGGAACATCCTGGACTCATTACACCAGTGTAACAGGGAAGCAGCTCCCTGCTCCACTGCATGCCTTGGCCCCGGACCCAAGTGCCTCTGCAGCCCGATCGGGGTCCTCTCTTCTCACTTACCCCCCAGCCCGCTCCAGGGTCTGTGCCCTGCAAGGGGGGCGGGAAGGACCCACCGTGGGCCCCGCCACCCCAGGGAATTTAGTCCCACAGCCAGCTGGAAGATGAAACCATCTCCGCCTGTCCGTGTGTGTTCGGAGCTGGGAGCACTCCTCGCTGCAGGACACGCTCCGGAATGCTCCAGCCCTGGCCCTGAGCTCCCTGTGTGCCCAGCTCGGGATGCCAGCGCCGGATCAGGGCTCTGGCTCACGCATGCGCTTGCACCCACCTCTCAGCAATAAACCAGGGCACCTTGGCATGCTTTAAGGAGCAGAGATGGCATTTTTTGGCAGGCTGGCTGTTCAGCAATCAGGCTGTGGAACGCTGCTTACTCTAAGAGCGATGAATAAGAGACAGAAGTAAAAAAAATAATATATATTTATATATATACACACAGGCGCACACACAGAGTAAAAGAAGAAACAAAACGGAAAAAACTAACCTGCGGTTTTCATTAGACAAAACCTCAGCTGACAGTAGGGAGGGGAAAGCCAGCGTTTAAATGCAAGCATGGATGTAAACACCACCCCGTTGGTTTTAATTCTGTTTTCCCTTCAAGTCTTCTGTAAGAAGAAGCTGCTTCACTGACACCTTCTGCTCCACCGCAGCCGCGGTTCACTTGACCTGCGCCCGGTGAAACGGCACCGGTGCCTTCCTTGACTCCAGCCTGGGAACTGGTGACTCAAACCAAACAGACTAAAACCCCGGATCAACAAGAGCAGCTCCCCTCTTTTATTAGAGGAGGACAGTGTCAGCACAAAAGCATCCTTCTCTTACAAGGGAGGAAAAATGTCAAGCCGCCTTATCTGCTCCCGTGAAAGCCAAGGCAACCTTCCTGCCCCTGGGAAATAAAGGGAACAGCTTTGGACAGAAATTAAAACTCTTATTGCATTGCCATTTGGAGGATCAATATGGAAAGGGCAAAGGCTTTTGAATGCTATTGGGGGGAAATCAGTATTTGTTATGAGTTCTTTTTAGAGAGGTTTTTGTCCCTTCGTGTCTGTCAGCAATTTCCTGATTAGGGTATTTGGACACAGCTAAACCCAGCAGCTGCTGGGAGAGGGCTGGAGATGGGGGGACATCTCCTTACCAGCCCCGAGAGCTGCCTGAAACGAACATGGGGCAGAAGAAACCCAGCAAGAATGCCCAAAGGAAAATTAAATACAGGGAAAAGGAGAAAAGCTGGCAAAGTTTTGTGTTTCTCATGGAAGAGGGTCTCATTTAGAAACTCTTCCTTTGCGAAAGCCCTGGGTTAGAAAAAAAAACAACAAAGAAATAACCCACAAACCCAAATAAAGACGAAGCAAGTACTCATCCTGTCCCATACTGGTATTTCCCATTAACCCCAGTCAGCACCTTGTGCAGCACAACCTCTTTTGCCTCTTCGTTGTCCAAGCTCTTCCCAGAAGTGGAGGGGCACCGGTGGGACCCCACATACCCCACTGCTCCCTCCAGGAGCACACAACCAAGAGCAGGTTGTAAAAGCCTTCCCATCACCTCGCCTCCCAGGTCCTCCACTTCTCCAGGTCTTGACGTTGGGATGAGACTCACTGGCAGGATGGGAGAGAGGAGCTGTGCCCGAGTAGACCTTTGGTTGGCTTCATTGTCCGCGGTGGGATGGAGAGGACGGGTGAGGACAACAGAGGACAACCCAGCAGTCTCTCAAGGAGTTAACACAAAGTCCAATGAGGTGTAGCAGCTTCTCCACAGCCTCAACAAGGTTGGGAGGAGGGAGATGGGGAGGGAATGGATGGAGACTCGTGACGTGAAACACAATCATCCACCAGACACCGACCCCGGAGGAATCTGGGACGATGGGAATGGAAGGGGGAGAGAGAAGCAAACAGCTTGTTATTACACACAGAAATGCTGGGAAAGCCTGGAATAGCTTCATTATCCCAAACTAAGAACGTTCCAGTCTAGAAGCACCCTTCAGGTCCACAGTGGACTTTTGTTTATGACATCAAGTTATTCCTCTGTGCAGTAAAACTTTTAAACCCCTTGCTTCACCCTCCTCTGATCGCTGTGCAGAACACCCTGTCTGGTGTCACATACTGAGGGATCTCTCAGAGTCACTTTTTCCTCCACCTGGTGATTGTCCCCCTCACTTTGCCACCGGTCCCCAAGAGGTCACACCCCAACTGGCACTGAGCGCCTGAGACCCAGAGACGGGGATGCTGGTTTGGGTCTTGCCCTGGGCAGATGACCTTTGTGGCCAACCCGAACCACTCCAGGTGCTCCTTTCAACCACTACTTCCATACAGCATTGAAGACGTGACAAACACGAGGAGCATGGTGGCACCATCCCCTCCAGCACGTCCTGTCCACCCACTCACCGCAGCGGGGCCGGCTGCTATACGGCCGTGCACACTGTGCTGACCGTGAACTCCGTCTCGTTGGCCATGATGTCCGTGGGCTGCAGGTTGCGGTCGTACATCGGGTTCTCAAACGTTGCTCGGACGTTGGTGTTTTCATGGCCCGCGTAGCCATTGAATGGGACTTTTGGTCTTCTCCTGCAGGATGTCAGGGAGAAAACCCAGATTGGTCACGGCCACTCCTGCCGTAGGCAGCTCAACAGCCCTGACGAGAAGTCGGTGGGAAGGAAAAAGCTGCTTTTGAAGAGGGTAAACACCCGGGGATGAGGCAGAAGGGATCCATAGTAAAATCCTACTCTGGATGTGCAGCACAGGCAGCTCCCTGGGCTTTGCCACAGCCCCCCGCGCGCCCCCTCCGCAGAGCAGCTGCACAGCAAGGCATCCATCAGAAGTAACTCATTTCCAACACATGCAAAGCCAGCTCCAACGCTCAAGTATGAAATCTGCTTTGCCTTATCCTACTTAATGTCGCCACAAATCTTATTAATGGTCATAAAAGCCCTCCACGCTCTCTTCTCCCAACACCCTTGCCCCCTCCACGCATGCTTGCTCCATTATTTTTTCACCTTCTGAATTAAATGGGAAACCAGGTCCAGGGGGAATGCTTTTAAGTCAAGCTGACAAATATTTCTGCCAGCCCCCTCATTTGGTTTCACCTACTGGCACCGTTCCTGCAACCCACCTGTGTTTGTAGAGATAAAGCACAAACCCTGCAATAATCAGGGCTATGAAAGGCACAAGAATGGCAGCTGCCACAGAACTGCTGTTTGATGCAAAATGGTGTCCTATTGATTCTGGATCATTTTCCATCATGCTGATGTCTGAAACACAGCAGAAGTAAACGCATTTCAAAACACTGCTGTAGGCAATGGGGTTTGCTTGAGTTACAGGTTACATCAACAACAGAGGAAGATGGTTAGAAGTGTTGCTGTAAAAGGTAATCAAAAGCTTCTGAGCTGCATGAAGAATGGTTTGGAGATCTAGCCTAGCTTAGACATCATTGTTTACTTAGAACTGCAACTAAAGAGATAAGTAATAGATTTATCTTACCAAAATGCTCAAATTTGGATGCTTAAAGTCAGGTTTAAGGGAGACTTTCAAGGGCTGCAATAACGAGGATCTAATTCTCCATAAAGGTGACAAGGCTCCAGGGTCAGATTCCAAAAATTCTAAAAGATTGAAGAGCTCAAGCCACATTTTAAGAGATATTTATGAGCTTAGACCTTGGGTTGTCTAAGCTCTCAAGTGCCTCTGTGATTTCTGAAACTGAGATGGAGAAGCTTTTTGCGGCAGCAACGGGACTCGGGCTTTTAGGTCAGACATCTGGTAACAGGGAGAAAAAAAAAGCGTCCAGGTGCTATTTGTGGCTCCAAACTCTTTCTGTCTTTGAACAGAAGCCTGTCCGTTTAAATGCCTCACTTTTTTCCTAAATTAAAAATGTTGTTGTGTTGTTTGCTTCCCACAAATGTTACACTGAGGATGAGTTCAGCCCCCCCTTGCCAGAATATCCAGCGTTCCACATTTCCTAAATTAAAAATGTTGTTGTGTTGTTTCCCACAAACGTTACACTGAGGATGAGTTCAGCCCCCCTTGCCAGAATATCCAGTGTTCCATGTGTTTAGTATTTAAAGACAAGCCCAGGCAGAGCTGCTGGACCCATCTTACGGGGAAGAACTGGTGGCAAAAACGGAGCCAGGCGCAGGGTGGAAGTGCTGCCAGGCAGTGGGGACCCTCCTCCTCCTCCCCGTGCAGCGTGGCACTGCTCTGCCTCCAACGCAAAGAAAGAGAAGCTGTTTCAGATGCCACCACCTCCCAGCCCCCCGAGGCAGAGAGATTTGAGGGCACCCAACTTCTCTACGCCGGTGCCCAGGTTTGGGTTTTGCCAGGGCTCAGCTAAACATGACGGTTCAAAACCAGTATAAAGATCTGGTTTGACAGGGTTGAAAATAAAAGCCAGGGAGAGGAGAGATGTTCCTTGTTTGAAAACCTCCGCTACCACCAAAAGCTGGCTTTTAGCAATCAAGGGAAAAAGTAACAATCAGAGGAACTTTACCAAGTCTCTGAAGGCCAAACTGCCCGAAGCCTTTGCCACGCACGAAGCCCTGGTACACAAATGTGCCGCTTGACGACTCCGACGAGACCTGCAGTGTCAGGAGAGCAGAAGCCAACAGATTTATTCAACGCTTCCCTGCCATTTTAGCACCCATCTTGTCACAGCCTCTTTCAAGTTCGTGCATAGCATTAATGTGTTTCAATTTCCCCCCAAAAAATGGCTTTTTTTTTTTTAAGAAGTCTGACTGTCTAACAACTTGTTAAGACTCTCACATCTCAAAGGAAGGAAAAAAAATAAGTCTTGTTTGCAATAAACTACAGAACACGTTGCTGATTCAACAGGGATAGTGAAGGCTCTGGGCTACAGCTGGCCATGGGTCAATCACATGCGTGTTTTCTCTAAGCTCCAGTGGATCTCTTAAGGGCATGGGAAGTTACCAGACATAGAAATCAGGGTGAGAAGTTGACTCCATAAGAGATTAGCACTTCCAGCTTGATGTTTACCAGATAAAATGTTAAAATGGAATTAATCGTGTTGGTTTCTCCTTAAGTGTTATCTGGAAGACTTACAGCTTTAAAACCATAGGGCAATAAAAACATACAGCTGCAAGGAAGCATGGAAGAGCCAACTGTCATGTAATATTATCTTGCGTGCTGGAAGAATGCCCTATGTCCCCTTCAAGCAAGCAGGTCGCTGGAGGACATCAGCCTCATCTCACCACCAGTTAAGGCAGTTATTCCCTCAGCTTCAGCGAGAAAAAAGCTGGGGTTGTGATAGCAACAGGAGGAGTCGTGTGGGTGGACTTTGTGTATGAGGTGCCCACGCACTTACATGTCCATCCAGAGCCCATTTATCGTTTTTGAACTTGTTGACAAAGATCTCCACTGGCCCTGTTATCTGGTAAACCTGGAGAAGCAGGTGCACATCTTCTTTCTTGTAAATCCCTGAAAAGTAAGTGGCTTTTAATCACTAGATCCCAATGAGTGTCTGAGTTTGAAGTAATTAACTTTCTACCTGAGAGAGTAGAGAAACCACCTCATCATCTTAGAGCAGACAACTCCTCCTACCAACCCTATCAGTGGGACACACCAGGAAACACACCACAAACACAACCCCACGTCCACTCCCCGGGAAATTAAAGACATTTTGCACATGGGAAGGGACTCAGCTGTTAATGTTTAGGTTATGTTGCTGCATCAGGAACAACCTGGTGCTCCACAGAGGAGAGGGGCGAGGGGCACTCAGCCTTTCATCTAGTTTGTCTTGGACTACAAGTCCACCACTCCAGCGTGAAGGGAACGGACAATGAACTGGGCTGAGCTGCCTTTCAGGCAGAGTCAAAGCAAACCCAGCTACGTGATTTTGTTTGTCCTGGTCTGGTCAAAGATCAGATGCTTCAAAGCTGGGTGGTTCTGTGAAGCTCTATCAGAACATCAACATCATCGATAGAGCCGAGCACGCTGCCCCTCGCTCGTCTGACACGTGTAAGCCCCCACCGACGCCGTGTCCCCTCCCTTACCAGACACCTGGAGCTCCACGCCGCTGTGGTCTATCAAAGTGGCATTGACTTTACCCGTGGCAGGGTCGAAGCTAGTGACAGACAGCATCGCAGGCTGCTTTTTCCCCATGTATTCATAGGAGCCTTTCCAAAGGGAATTCCTTGCAAACACATCAGCAGGCACTGGAAACCGCAGCGATTGAGGATGCAGAAAAACAAGTGCAGAGCCATTTATTTCCATTTTTCAGAAAGCAAAACAGAGCAAATTTCTTTCTTTCTTTCAACTCACAAATACATATTTAAATATCTCCAGTCCCACCCGCTCCCTGAGTTATCATTACTGAGTACAAAGCCAAAGAGAGGAGAACAAACAAGCTGATGACTTTAATTTTGTTTTGACAAAAAATGCCGCTCAAGTTTTAAAAAACGACCCACCCTCAAATTAATTTCTTAGGAAAAGCTAACAAAACCTCATTTTTCTTAAAAAAGCTCTAACATAAAACATCCTCGAGGGCTCAAAACTCTGGAGGGCCCTGGGGAGGGCAGCGGATGTTGGTGCCCGACTCCCTCAAGGCTCCTGTCCGTTCTGCAGCGAAGCGTGAACGAAGGGGATGGAGCACACGGGCTGCTGCCACCAGCCCGGCAGCTGCGAGCCCTGGGAGGAACAACCAGTTTCTGGCTGCCCTGGGGAGGGGATGGAGCTGCTAAAGGCCAGGTCCAGTACCAATATGTCCCATGGAAGAGCGAGCCCCGCTACGGTACCTGACACCTTGGTGAGCGGCGGGTCCCGCGCGGTGCCGACCGGCCTCCCGCTGGGACGGACGTCAGCTGAAAGAGAGGAGCAACCCACCACCAGTGAGTACTGCAGCATCTGAGGCTGCTGAGACCCTTCTGCTGTGCTGGTGCTAACAAAGGTCAGCGTTGGGCTGCCACCGCTCGCACGGTGACGTGGCTGCTCGTCCTGGGTACAAGGGCTTTGGGTGGCGGTTCGTGCCCAGCATGAAGCTTTCCCTCACTGCCCTCCCCTGCCACCTGCCCCAAACCACAGCATCCAGGGAGAGCAACCACGCTCCGTGAGAGCCATGCAGCTTTATTCCAAGATGAGACCACTACATGTTCCTGGTCTAAGATCCTCAGGTGAGGATCAGCAGCTCCCGCAGAGACGTGGGCGAACGCAAAACCAGGGCGATGCTGCTCAGGGCTCTTACCGAGGCAGATGGGTGGTTTTCCTGTCCAGCTGCCATCTGCTTTGCAGGTGCGATGCTCAGACCCTCCGGTGAGATAGTAGCCACTCTGGCAGGAATAGATCAGGGTGTAGCCCAGAGATGGCAAATCCAGAGCACCAACGTTGGCGTGAGAGGGGGTCTCCGGCTGCTTACAGTGGTGAGCTGAAAAGCACAAGGAAACTGGGATGAGAGACACCATCCAGTCGTACACAGGAAGGCAGGAGTGACCCCAGGACGTCACAGCAGAGACAGAGATCTCTTAGAAGAGCTTTCTTCAGCAAAAGCTTTCTCTGCTCTCTGAGGGAGACAATGCCATGCCTGGATTTTTCCCAGCCGGACGAATTAATGAGACTGCTTCCCGTGCTTTGCTGGCCAGACTGCTCTATCCAGCTAAAGCTCTCAGCGAATCCTGCACTCGGTTCCAGTTTCCACGAACTGAAAATCAGGCTCTGCCATCCCCCACCTTTTAAGGGGAAAAAGTCAAAACCAAATGATGCTAAAGACACCTTTTTCCTTCCTTCACCTGTCACCCCAGCATTGTGTTCCAGGTCTATCTGCAGACCGAAAAATGCCTTTGCAGGGCATCAAGACCTGGTACATTAAGCCAGTGACTCCAGTGAGTGCATTACAGATCCGGTTTTGTATAATCTCTCTCCATGGGACCTGTATCCTAATAATTTTGCACCTACCTATCCAGAGGTTCAGACAGTAAGTCCTCAGAAGCATGCAACAGTCATAAATTCCTATAATTGCTCAATAACTTTCAGGATTTGGCCCACAGAAATCGAAGCTGAGCTTGTCCAGCTCCTCGCCACCAGACCGAGCGTGCGCCCACAACTCTTCTATCAGGTCCTGTTGTAAAAGTGTCACCACTTCCCTTGAGAAGTTACGACACAGAACAAATAAATCACAGAGCTGGGCAGCTCCCCCTCACCCACCCTGTAAATTTGCCCTTTCTGTAGCTCTCCAGCTGCTCATGAATGAAAACAAATCCTGGGCAGCTTTCACGAGGTATTACCTTCATCCTCGTTTTGCAGAAGATGAAATCTAAACCCCAGGAAGCTGAAGGACTAACCCCACCTCGCGAGGGCTGGGAGCCCGGCCGCGAGCCCCCAGCCCCGCTCGCAGGCGGCTCCTTGGCACTAACTGCATCCAGCTCCCCGCTGAGGATGGAGAAGGCTTGACACAAAACCTCAGGGCAACAACTCCACAGTCCTGGCTGGCATGGGTAAGCCAAAACCACCTTCTATTTCAATGCAAGAGTTTTTCGAGGCGGGTGCCCCGGTTGGGTCGCTCGCAGCACCAGCACCCACAGGGGTCGTTAACGGGAAAATATCTCACTAATAAGTCACTTCACAAGGGAGAGGGAAAAGCTTTTTAACACTTCTGGTACAGGAGCCGTGATGGGTATTACCACTTAAATGCATTAAACTGCTTCTGGTGTAGCAGGGAAAAGATGATGGACAGCTTAAAAGAGCAACATGTTATTGATGCCAAGGAGAAGCCCCGCTCTGCCGGCGAGCCCTCCTGGCTCGGCGTGAGCCTCGGTCCCTGGAGCATGAGCTCACATCTCGGCCATCAAACGCGGTCTCAGAAGCACAAAACAAAGTCTCACCTGAAACAACGTCTCTGAAGAAGGGACAAGTAAAAAAATCTTAGTTCAAATCAGAAGTGGCTGCTGGTATAGTCATGTCAGGACAGAAGTGATTGTGTGATCTCCTGTTTCTTCAAGAACATGTTTTTTCAGAGCTGTCCCCCCAAATCACCACCTCTCAGAGCCAGCAATTTGCACGGTGAAGCCCAGCAACAAAACAAGGCAACAGCATGGTCAAAGGCACCGGTTTCCTTGGACAAAACCTCTCGGTGAGACTTACGGACGCAGTCTGGCTGCACGCCGCTCCACGTCAGGTTGGGGAGGCAGGTCCTGGTGGTGGAGCCCTGCAGCAGGTACCCCTTCTGGCACTTGAAAAAGATGATGCTTCCCACCTGGTTTCAAGAGGAGAACAAGCACTGAACCAGTGTAATGTGATTCGCCCATGCTTGTAATACACAAGTACTTCTGTAATTTTCTATCTTCTCGATGCTGAGTGGGGAGCTGCCAGCTCGCTGCCCTCCCCGTCCTGCCGGAGTCTGGTGCCCAGAACGCTCTCGGAGCCCCTGGAACGCTGCAGCCTTTACCTGTGCTGGGAGCTGCTGCTTTCAGTGACAGAGGCACAGCTGCTCTGGCTATTAAACACCCAGAGGCAGCACCAAACCCTATTAGAAAGGGCCGAATTTTTTGCCAAAAGGGATATTCAATGTCAGCAGCACCAACAAACACCCTGTAGCAGTATTCTAAATGCCAATTTGGATTGTGAATAGCAAAAAGGATTACAAAACCTGAAGGGTGACTTTTCCATGTTTTTGAGGTATGCTCACTTTTTGCAGACTATCCACTTTGCGTTTGGTTTCAACTCAACTATTGCTCCAACCAAGCCATTATCATATCAAGGAGCTCGCTCCCTGCCTCAGACAGGTTGGCATTAGATGCTGTCCGCCTGCGAGCCCCGTTACTGCAACTGGATTTGCTTTAAAACCAGAACATGCTGGAATAAAGTTGCCAAGCAGGGCTTTGAGCACCTTCCCCATCCTCCCCAGCACAGCCGTACCACGCGGGCCACCTCCTGCTGACCCGCAGCCGGGTTTTATCACGCAGTCACTCCGGGACTCTCAGCTGGTGCCCGTGGTCCCCTGGTACCATGTCCAAAGGCACCATTTTCCCGGGACACTCTGCTCCAGCCCCCCCGTGCAAGCACCCGTGGCAGCTCCACCGTGGTGCGCAGCTCTCAGAGGGGCAACCCGTGCAGAAGTCAGACTTATGGTGCTCAGTATTAATTAAAAACTAGAATTCATTCATTAAAACCCAGGATTAAGAGAACTAATTAGCAGCAAAACTGAAATATCCGCTCTGGCAGGAACAGCCACATGGAATCAACTACCCCGGCCCCGCGCTCCGCTTTTTTTTCTCCGCTCCGTCCCAGCAGGGAAGGGGCACCCACAAGGATGGCAGCAGAGGCTGGAGATGGAGCACCCCAGGGAATTGCTTGGGGGTTTTTTCCCCTCTCCTTTCCACGGATTTCATACTGTACAAGAGCTGAGGTTAAGAAAACCACCTACAGAATTTGATCTGAAAATAAATGGAAACTATGCCTCCAATGTGAACGCTAGTTATGCTAATAACTATTAATTAGCAGTGTAATCAACACCATAAATAATGCGTGGCTAGTTAATCCCGTACAAACGCGCTCTGAGGTCTAATGGTGTGCACTGGGATGTCCCACTCCCGGGCAGACACGTTAATCCACGTAAGGACTCGGACACCGACTGACCACAGCGAGTACCGGGGCGCAGGCGAGGGGACCCCGCTGCCACGGCCGTACCTGGTAGCCCTGGGAGTTGTTCTGCATCCCGAAGAGAGGCACGCCGGGGTCCGCGCACGTCGTGAGGCTGGGGTCTGCAGAGAACAGAACCGGGCAGCGTTTTAAAGGAGCCCCCGTGAAAGCCCCATCAGAGCTCTGCCTCCCCCCGCATCCACGCGGATCGACCCCGCTGCGCCTGTGCAACAAGACAGAAATGTTTTGCCACAGAAGGAATACATAGCAACAAGGAAAAATAGATCTTTTTGTTTCTTAAATCCTCGGCTGCTGCGATGCAAACTAACCAGAGGCGCTGCATCACCCAGGAGAGAACGTCAGAACATAAATCTTGCATCAGGGATGACTCCATTCCCTTCCCCTATTCTACACTGACGAGTGGAGCACCCGGCTCACCAGGGCTGTGCCCTCCCCTGCCCCGGGGCCGTGGTGACCTTGTCCTCTCCTGTGCCCTGGCTCAGCACCTTCGTCCTCCTGGGCTCAGCCCGGCCCCGCTCGCACGCTCCCCGTGGAACCTCAGTATTTCATAGTGACAGGCGGGGGCTGGAAATTTTAATGCATCTCAGATACATAATCTCTCTTTATGCCTCGTTTGGTCTCAATCTGTCAGAAGATGAATACACCCAATTCAGTAGGAATAACCTGCTGCTACTTTTCCAGCATCTATCGCTTCCTCTTTTTTCCCAGCGCGCTGACAGTGGCAGGGCACCGATGGAATTAAGGCAGAGATGCATCACATTTACATCAGCATCCCAAACGGAGTGAAGGAAACCAAAGTTTCTGACTGAAAGGCAGCTCAGCAGCAGCAGGTTCCCCGCTTCTTAGGATCACAGAACTGAGCCAAGCTGTAACAGTGACCACAGGGATGCTCCAGTTCCTGGCCAGGGCAGCCGCATCAGCAGGGAGCTGGAGCACTGCAGGATCTCAGTGCAATGGGATCAGAGCCTGCTCTGGGTTCCCAGCCTTCTCCTTCAGCATGCTCAACATCGCTGCAAGAACCACCACAGGCCCCACAGCAAATCCCTCCCCCCTATGCTCACTCAAAATACGCCAAAAACGCAGCTGGTTTGGGGCTGCGGCACATGAGCCAATTCGTTCTCCGTCATCCAGCTCTGCTGAGCTTTTGTCATCATTTATCACCGATGCAGTTTCCATGGAAGCCCCAGATATATTCCAGTGTCTAAAATAAAGAGCCCCATTACTGGATGAGGGAGCAGGTGATGGATGGCAGAGGGTGGAGGGCAGAGTCTCGGTCTCCTGGCTACATCTCGGGGGGTGTGCGGTGCTGGCAACCTCACACATCTCAAAAATGGGTAAGATGTGAATAAATACAGCACTTTGGGTTCAGCTGCCTGTGTCAGAAGCTGGTATTTCGGGTGAAGGGTTTTGTAGACACACAAGTCTTCTCCCTTCCCATGGTTTGCTTCGGGGAGATGACAAATGCTGAGTATGGTTCAACAGCAGCAGGAACAGCTGTATCTGCCTGGGTTGAGCACAGCTGGCTCCAGAGGGCCGAGTGCCACCCATGTACCACAGGATCCCAGACAAGGATTTGCAAGAAAGCCATGGAAGCGTTCAAAGCAAATATTTACAACAGTAGCAGATGCTCCCAACTCCTTGTACGTGAGAAAGCTCCTGGTGAAATCAACAGTAAACTTGGAGGTTCAGGCCACGGGTACTTGTACATGGCTGTGACTGGTGATGCATTTAAGATGTAGCTACAACGACTGGAAACCGTGGAGGACAGCCTGAGATCTGCTTCTGCCCCTGATGCCCAAATGAGGTGGTGGTGGTGGTGGTGTTCAGGCAGACAGTGGAGGTGACAGCACATGGCCCCATGGCAGCGCTTTGCCACCACAGGAGCACTGGAGTTCAAGAACACAGCCAGAGTCTTAAATAGGCGAAGAACGCCGTGACTAATTATGATTATACACCTCCCGGGGTTTCAAAGGGTTCTGGAGGCCCCACAAAATGGGCACCTGAAGAACGTGTGGAAATTTCAGCCTGAATCCCAACGCTGCAGCCAGGCAAAGCAATCTGCACAATGCTGACCTCTGTATACAGCACTTCTGTACTTCTAGGAGTTGCTGTTCTGCCATTCTGGATATAATTCAAAGGCAGTGGAGAACATAAGGGCTCTCATGTGCACCCTTTAGGCAGAACCCAGTTTTGCTGCAGTTCCTGTGAGCAGATCTCCCCTCCACTGCAGCCCACGGCTGCTCTCGGTGGTCAAATTGCATTTCCAGCCCCATTGCTGCTAACGATCCCGTGCAGCTCCAGAGCAGCCGCTGGGTCTGAGGTCCCTGAGGAAGCCTGGAAGCAGCCAGGAGACCAGAGCCCTCCACTGCACAAACCCAACTATTCTGAGGTTGCCCAGGGAGCAGCAGCAGCAGCACAGCACTGCACCGGAGCACTGCCGCCATCCCCAGCCCTGGTGACATGGGTCCCACCAGCCTTTGGGAGCTCTGCGCAGTGCCACCCTCCCCAGGCTCTTACCAAGCCCTCAAACCTTCTGGCCCAGGTTGCAAACATTAACCTGGAAGTCCTGCAGAGGAACTTCTCCCTCCTGCCCACGGGCAGCTCAAGCACAGCACTAAGGGGCAGTCACAGGGAGGAGATGGTCTTCGTTGGACGCATTAGTGCTGACCACCCTCAGGGGCAGGAACGTTGGGGACAGGTGCTGATCTAAGCAGCGACCCCCAAGAGGAGGAGACAGGTTGTTTATGCACAAACCAAAAGCATTATCCCTATACGTTCCGATTTTCAGGGAAACAAAGTGCTAATTTCTGCAGACCCAAGAAAGAAAACCACCTTACCTATGCAGCTGGGCTGCGTCCCGCTCCACGTCCCGTCGGACTGGCAGAACCTCCGGGCTGAGCCCACCAGCACGAGCGGGGCTAAGCAGGAGAAGGAGACGGAGGAGCGGTACGTGAAGCCTCTGTCCTCCCGCCTGCCTTGCGCGGGTATCCCGGGATCTCCGCAGAACACAGCTGCAAGGGGCAAGAGAAGCGGACTGCGACGAGTCTCCCCAAGGGCAGGTGATGTCAATAAGCTAAAGATGGGTCTGTCCCCCTCCCTGCCATCACACCGTGGCTGAGTGGGGAATTAGTAGTGGCAGAAGGCATTGCTGGCTACTCTCCTTGTAATTCTCTCTTTTTGTCAATCGCTGTTAATTAACATCCACCTTCTCCCCCATCCTTTCTTTTTTTTTTTTCCTCCCTCTCCTTCTTTTTTCCCCCCTAACAGCACGCTTAGCTTTAAAACATATCTCTAATGGCACGATGTCAGATTGCTGTATGGCTCCGTGTCACACGCAAAGCCTGCTAATTACACAAGATCCAGGGAAAGGTGCAAGGAACACGGCGAGGGCTTTGTACGATTTAATATGAAAATAGCTACTGTGCAGCTGCCAGCCACTCAGCCAAGAAAAGAAACTCCAATCTGCCTTGATCATTACAAGACATTTAACTAATTTTTTGCATTAGCTATTGTATCAAGCACAGAGGTTTCCACCCAGCCAAAGCTCTGCCTTCACAAAACATTCCTAACTTCCGCTGCAACAACGCGGTGCCCTTTGCCAAAGGTTTTTTTCCTGCTGCCTTGGGCAGTGTCAAGAGCCCTGACTGCAGAAGACAGTCACTGGGGGACACACGGACAAACAGACAATTTTAAACGTGCCTGGTGCACAGCAACATGCAAGATCTTCAGACTTGTTGCAAATGTGACCTCGCATCTCCATTACAAGAGGCGGAGTGACCAACCATATCCCCATGGCCACCACTGCCTCCTCCTTACGGAGATGGCAAACAGATTCCCAGCGATTCGGCTGCCGTCGAAGGTGGGGAGAACGCTCAGACTGTTGGCTACAGACACTCTAAGCATCACCACGCTTTTCTCCTGGGAGACAAAACTCTCACTGACTCCAGTTAAGGCCAGGCTTCCCTCGGGCTTAGGGGTAGGAAGCTCAGCAACCAGATATTGATGTTCCCGCGAACCTGGAACAGTCAGTCTGTGCCCTCTGTGACCATGCCAGGCACGGCAGAGCTGGCACTAACACCAGCTACATGGAGACCAGAGGTGCTGGAGACAGAGCATCAAACCACCGGGTTTTGAGCACAGTCCTCCACCCGACTGACACCCGAACCCGCGGACGGCTGCCGACTCACGGAAGCACTGGGGAATCTCCCCGCTCCACGTGCCGTTCCCCTCGCAGGTCAGCACGGCGGGCAGGGACAGCTGGTACCCCTCCAGGCAGGCGTAGCTCACGCTGGAGCCCCAGCTGAAGTCCGAGCCTACGACTTTCCCGTTGGGAATGGCTTGCGGGGATTTACAGACGATAGCTGAAGGGAAAACAAAAGCACAGGCAGCTCTCCTGACTGCTCACCACAGTTATTTCCATTAACAAGCAAATTGCTGTAGGATCAAAGTTCTGTTCTGCTCTCAGAGCCCCTCCGGGACCAGCCTAGCAGGGGGCTGTACGAACTCCTCCGGCTGTGCCAGCAGTCGTAAACCCCAGGATTTTCACTTTGAAGTCTGGAGTTAACCAAATCCCAAATCTCCAAGTCAGATTTCCATGTCGGTGTTCATTTCCAACCGAAGGTAAGAACTCAGCCTGACTTGGCGTGAAAACTCATCTAAGATCCCCTGAAAGATTCATACATTCTGGACAACCTGGCTGAGTTCCAGATTAGCAGTTGAATCAACAACCAGTCTGTATTTCATCTACTCCAGGGTGTTTTAATATGACATTTTTGCAGTGCTTTGCTTTTCGGCTCAGGAGAGCACTGGGAAAGATGCTAAGCTCATGCAAATCAGCCTGGCCTCCAAACGAGACTCTGGCCACCCTCTGTATTATTCCTGCAACATTAGCTCAGTGGAGAGAAGCGTAAGAATTGCTCTTTACAGCTTCTGAAGGAACTGGAGTGTATTTGGAAGTTTCTATGTGGTCTGCATTTATATCAGAACCATGACAGGTGAATTTTCCAGATTGCTGAAGAAGTACACACATGCTGCTACAAGCCTTATCTACACTTGGTGGGTGAGTAAAACACTCGCAGAAGAGATCCAGCCTATTCTGTAGCTGGCTTATTATTTCCCTTTCCTATCTCTGAACTACAGAGGCAATCTCAGAACCGAGAAATAATGAAAGGAGTAGGAAGAAACATTTTTCAGACTTCTCAATGATGCCAAAAAGCGTGTGCTTGCGAAACACAGTATTTCATTTGAGTTTGATCTGGGTTTTTGTGAAGAGTAAGTCACTTCGCTCTCTGTGCTTCACTCTTCCTTCTCCACTACAGGATAATAGCAACTGCCTCCCTCCCAGACGTATTGTGATGATTGATAGGCCTAAAGATAGCAAGGTGTTCATGCTATGTTGATAAAATTGCATAACTGCCACAAACACAAGGGACAGATTGAACAACAGGACCGAGAAACTCCCAGGTGGGCTCCAGGCACTAAGCAGCAGTTGCTGCCTTTTACCTTGTGACAAGTTACAAAAAGTTTGCAGCCTGTAAAACTCGCAAACTCCCATATTTAACACCAGCCAGTCTTACCCTTGCAGGCGGGTTTGGTGCCATTCCAGGTTCGGTCTTTCGTGCAGGTTAGAGAAGACGCCCTGTCCGACTCCATCATGTAGCCCGGCGTGCACTGGAACACCACCGTTCTGTTGTAGGTGAAATCACTGCCCAGCCTAATGCCGTTGGCCGGCACGCCGGGGTCACCACAGTTGATCACTGCCACAGACAAGGAAAGAAGCACTGACCATCTCATCTCACGTTTCTGGAGCTGCAAGAACCAGAAATCTGATGGTCCTTGAGCATTTTTCAACACAGGATGCAATCACTGATGGTGGAGCAGGGAGCATTTGTAGCACAGAGGATTTGGAGAGTGGCACTAGCTATGGAGCAAGCTGGGCTGCGGCATGCCGAGAATGCTTTCCTTCTGCTCAGTGGAACAAGCAGTGATCTTAATGGCACATTAAGACCTTGCAAGAAGAAGTATTAACACACATGAAACATTAAAGAAACCCTGGGTCAAATCTGGGCTGGCTGGAAGACAGTTTTGCTCAAGGCACCCCCTCCTCTCTTTACCCTAGTTACTGCCTCTTGTGCAAGACCACGTTTTGCCATCACCCACGTTCCTGCCGCGGGCACCGCGGGTGGGAGCCGCGAGGAAACGTGCCACGTTCACTGCGGGGTTCCGAGCGGGGGCTCCGCACGCACACCCCGGTGCCGGCACGAACGCTCTCGTTCGGCGGCAGCCCCGGAGAGCCCCTCTGGGCCAGCTGACATCTACTCATGGAAGTTATTACAGAGCTCCCTTCATCCAACCGGAAAAAAAAACAAACCCAAAGCACGAGTTTTCCATTAGGTACTCGCACAGAGCGCCTGCTCCTACCACTGCACAGTTTAGCTGAGCTCTCAGCGTGGCACACGTGTGTGTGCACGTCCACGGTGAGCATCCAGCACGCCCTGGCAGCCCGTCCCCAGAGCCTGGCAGCACCGTTCGTCTTCTGCTCCAGGAATCCATCCCGGTGCTCACCTGTACACTCCGGACTGGTCCCAGTCCACGTCCCGTTCACCGTGCAGTGCCTGCTCAGCACTCCCGTGGAGTAGTAGCCTTCCCGGCACTGATAGATAATGGAACTGGAGAAAATCAAGCCGTCGTTAAATATAACCCTCGCGTTGCTGGGGGTTCCTGGGTTTCCACAGGATATAACTAGAAAACAAAATGACAAAGTTAAAATAAACCGAAACAAAACACAAACAACCCACCTCAACCCCCCAAACAAGGCTCTCATCCTGCACTTGACTGTTGTCAATAAAAGTAAGATTATCCGCAAAGCCCCTGGCTCAGCTCGCACCCAACAGGCTATTCTGCGCAAAATCAGCTACATCAATCCAACAGGACCCCAAACACTGCTCCCAGCTCAGAAAAATGGCTGCTCCACGTTGCCAGGCAGCACATCCCACGGCTGCACACGCAGCATCCCTGGCAGGGGACCGAAAAAACTCCATCCCCAAAGCCAGCCGGTCCCCAGAGCCCCAGCCCCGCTCCTCTCCTGGGAGCAACGTCCTCCTGGCTGCAGAAAGAACTTGTTGCAGAGGACTTATCCCAGATCTTCATCTTCCATCTGGTCCTACAGCAGCAGGTCCCTCCATCTCCCAGGAGTTTGGGAGCCCAGACCCGAGGGCACCGTTTTGCCTCCTGCCCCGTCGGGAAGCCGACAACTTTGCAGACTTCAAAGGAAGGAGAGCAGCAAGAGAGCCCGCTGCTCCTCCGTCGTGGCATCGCTCACTGCCCAGCTAGATCCAATTATGCTTTCAGAGGAAGGAGAATGTTGTGGGAATACAATTATAGGTTTGTCAGTGCCCGAGTTTTATGTCTAAAGTACCTCAGCACTACGGCAATAAAAGGGCATCAGAGTGAATGGTGGTGCTCGAAGCCCTGTCATGACAAATAAGCACCTGCAATAATTGCATCCAGCCCTCATTTACTCTGAAATTAGAGGACATAAAAGAAAATCACATGAATCAAGGAAAGGCTTAAACCACAGGCTCCCAGCTCTTTAACAGGGAAATTCCTGCTCCTGCATCTCCCCAGCAACACGCCGCAACCTCTGCGAGAGCATCAGTCTGTGCATGCATGAGGTGACCTGTCCCTGCCCTGGGACACCCCCCCATTTCCAGCCACCCTCCATGGGGAAACACAACTCCTGTCCCCAGCAGGAAAGCAACGAGTACAGGCCACCAGCGCCAGAAGAGAAGTCTTCTGCCTTGCTGCTTAGTTTGCTGACAGCCTGTTAACAGATGAGCTTGTTGGAGGCAGATCTGTTTGACAGGAGGAAGCTAATAACCATTCTGGACTGTGTGCACAGGAACTCTGCGTGGCACCGAAATCATCCGAGGCACGCTCTCATTACGGGTTCCTCATGCAGCCGACGTCTCTGTGATACACGGTGTCGTTTCCAAGAGATGCTGGGATAAAAGTCAGATTCTATCAACTCAGAAAAAGCTCTGCATTACTATTTCACTGCCTGCCCATACATCAGCTGTTCTCTCCTGCCCAGCCTCCTCCACCCTATGCATGTGGCCAAACACATGCAGATGACCCAAAAATAGTTACTTTTGTGACCAGAAGGAGACTCACGGAAATGGTTTAATGGCAGCGTGCATCAGCCATGATCTGTATAGGTTAGATATAGAAGAAGCCCTTGTCCAAAGCCCCTCTCCAGCTTTCTTGTAGCCCCTTTAGGTACTGGAAGGTCTTCCCAGAGCCTTCTCTTCTCCAGGCTGAGCAACCCCAACACTCTCAGCCTGTCTCCATAGGAGAGGTGCCCCTTATAGAACGCCGAAGCCCAGTGCTGCTTACAAAACGTTTCAAACATCCCTGGGACTTACAGATTATTAAAGAACTCCCCACCTCAGAGTTTCTGAATTTGCTTCTTTGTTGAAGTAAATTGTGTTCCTCCAGTTACTTTTATGAATTTTTGAGCAAACCCATGGAAAAGTTGCCAAGTGCCATTAACTCCGTCCCCACCAAGCACTTGCACAGCTCTCAAGCCCACCCGCAGCATGACACTTGCCAAGCAGCTCCAGGCCAAGCAGCAGGATGGGGCGAGCTCCGCTGGAAGTCTACTGGGAGATGTCACAGTGGGAATCACGCACTTGAAAATGTTTTCCTGCACCCTCTGGGGACCTCAGCTACTTGCCCCAACCCAGGAGCTGTAAGCTCCTTTCGACACTTCGTTGCTTGCTCAGGTGTGCCGGGCAGCCACGGGCACGCGGGCACACAGCCCCGCTCCCCTTCTTTGCCAACTCCTACATCTGCAGTGCCAGCGCTGCGACGTTCTCCCCTAATTCCTCCTCCCAGAGAGGAGCCAATGTTGATTTTTGAGGACACGTGTGCTGTGTGCATGGGCTGGGGTGGGCAGTGATCAGAGACAGAGGGACGTCGGGGTCTGCCTTGACTCCTGACAGCGGCCGGAGCTGCTCCCTGCCATCCCATCACTACTGGGAGGCGCTGGGAAGGTTCTATACGCTACAAAGCAGCCTCTACCATATCAAACATCACAAAGCTCAGAGGTGCTACAAAGCTCAGCAATAATTAATTTGATTCCAATCCATGCATCCTTTTTCTGAAAAGCCTATTAAGATTTCCCCCTTTGCCTTCCTTTGCTTTTTTCCTACATCTTTTACAGCAAAAAGCTGCTGGGAGAAGGGAATTTCTGTGCTGTTACTTACAAAACACTTCAAGATTCCTCGGCCCTGCACAGCAAATATCTCCCCAACACTATGATGGGCTTGTTTCAGGGCTTTTATTCCAGCCAAGGCCAAGACAAGGCACCTCTCTGCCAGGAGCAGCAAGCCCTGCTCGTCAGGAACCACAGCTGGGAACAGACGAGGGCTGCTGGCTGCTCCCAGTGCATGTCTGACCGTGCTCGGGCTGGCGTGTGAACGCAGCGTCCTTTGCACGTTCCCTCTCCTCTGACCTAATCTTGACCACCGTCAGTACTTCTTCTGGGCTCTGCTGCCATCTGAGCGCCTGGCTGAAACGCTCTCCTAATGATGTCTGACACACCAGGCAAAACCTCCTGCCAGGGCAAGGCACAGCCGAGAGCCTTTCGGGGCTAATTTCCATGCTGTTTAATTTAACCAGTAACCCATAACCCACCTAACCATGCAGAGAGAGAGAGAAAGAAAGAAAGAAAGAACGAACTAAAAAAGGCAGCCTAGACCCAAACCCCAGCCCTGCCACCCCCCAGGTCCTCAGCAGTCAAACGGGCACGACGAAACCGAGTTTCTTTTCCCAGTGTTATCACTTAAAATAAATGTGTTTCTGTCTACTGGAACTGCCAAAGAGCAGCCAGAACCCCATCTCACCTCATTTTGGATGCAGTTTTAATTCACCTGGAGAAACAACATACATTGTAAAAGCAAATACTCTGCTCAACCGCTAAGAAGAGGAGGAGGGAGTGCACAGCACAGCACAGCTGATGAGCACCCCCCGCACCACTCCTCAGTGAACGCAGATGGGGCATCAGGAAGGAGGAAAAAGAAGGAAAAAAGCATCTAAAATTTCATTTACACTTTAAAAACTTGCTGGAAAGGAAAGCTAAATGAGGCCTGAAAGCTGCCATTTTTAGAAAGCCAGGGAAGCTGCTGTTACTGAGGACAACAAAACCCGAGCTACATAAACCAGACCGAAGTAGGAGGAGCCCCTGCAATTAATTTGATGTCAAACCATTTGTACATTTTGGAAAAAATCAGTTGTGATGACTTCCCGCCTCCCTATTTCTTAAAAATACTCTAGCGGGCAGGAAGGCTGAGAGCTGATGGAGCATCGTGGTGCCCCTCCATGAAGCCCGGTGCTCCCATCGGCCACCCACGCCCCCTGCGGGGATCAGAGCTGTGCTGGTCCCAGCGCAGGAAGGCACCAATGGTCCAACAACAGCCCCTTGACTTCCAAGTCAAGCACCTTCCCCTCGGTGCACGCGGCAGGATTGGCACCGTGCCCCTCCGTGGTGGGCACTCAGCTCCTGCAGAGCGAGCCGAGACTGTGCTCATCCAGCAGCTAATCTGGAGAGCAATTTGCACTGAAATCCCCGGGCAGGCGAGCGCCGCTGACCTGCGAAGCCCCATCAGCCTTGATTTTCCTCAATTTTGGTGGCCGAGAGCAGGGAATGCGCGGCGGAGTCGGTGCTGAGCCCTCCGCTGCCACGCTGGAGCTTCTCTCCATCAGCAGAGGTGCCCTCGTCCCTTCCACACCCCTGCCTGAGCACTCACCTCTCATCTGCACTTGTCCTGAATTCAATCCCAAAATTAATCTCTCCCCTCCCTCTCCCACAAATACCTAAACACAACGCTCCAGGCGCAGAACACCACCGCGCAGCTCGTCGCTGGGAATTACCTTCCCATATGGGCCAGTCTGCACTTACATTAAATGACTACATTATAGGCGTAATGTTATCATTATTCATAAAGTGTGAGAAAAAAAAAATCTGCCAAGGATCCGTATTTTGGTGCCTCTGGAAGCTGACGGGTTATTTATCCTGAGATTAATGAACAGAGCCTTTCCACAGAGAGAAAAAAAAAAAAAAAAGAAAGAAAACCCAAGACCTGAGTGTATTAATAACGTGACTCAATGTCTGTTCAATCAAGAGCTCCATCAATTTGGAATAAATTTCCAATTAATTTATAAACTCTCTCTGAGCTTTTGGCTTTCAAATCAGCTGGAGAGAAGCACTTGCCCAGGTCGCCTTGCATTTGGTACCCTGCCTCGCTTTGGCTTTTGTTCTTTTCCCAATTGATTTTTAAACACTTTTATAAAACAGTAGCAGTGAGCAGCACAGCTCAGAGAATCCGGCTGGGGGTTCATTACATTGGATTACAGGGTCTGACTTGATTCCTTCAAATAGAAAAATAGGGAGTTTGGGGTTTTCAAACAGGAAAATATGCTTACTGGAATATAATTTGCATTTTGCATTTCTGCTTCACGCAAGTGACTCTCGCACGTGCCAGTTCCAGCTTTAACAGAGGTTTGAAGCTACTGACGTTCCCCATTCTGCTGAGACTCCTCAACAGAGCAACAGTGGATCCAACAGTGGTACCAGATCCACGGATCTAACACAAACTGGGGCGTTTCTGATGACCTACTTGGATGTGTGATCGGATCAAGGGACACCCACCCCAGTGCTTCTTGCAGCGAGCCTGGGAGCGATGGCCTTGGGAACGACGGGAAGTGAGGACCAGCTCCCAAAGGCTCTTCCTACTCTACACATCAGTCTAGATGTCAGCATGAACCCGAACGACCCGAAACCCCTTACACCACCATCCCGCTGCACCCTGCGGAGCGGAGCCGGGCACACAAAGAGGTGGCACTCATCCTCTGGCACTGAAAAACCCTCCCGTGAGATGTGACTTGCGGATGTTCGGGAAGGGGAGAACGGAGGCTCCCCAACAAACGGCAGGATTCGGAGGAACGGCTGAACAATACTACTTCTCACGGCACCAGACTGTCTCTGGCAGCTAAGACAGAGGAGATGGGCTGCTGGGCAGCTGTCCCTGCCACGGAAATTCCGGGGACACCCGCAGCAGGCTCGGTGTGACGCAGGAAAAGTACCTTCACATTCCGGCTGCGTGCCGCTCCAGGAGCCGTTGGCTTGGCAGGTCCTCTCGGACGAACCCCGGAGCGTGTAACCGGGCTCGCAGCTGAACCGGACCACGCTGCCCACATCAAAGTCATCCCCCAGCCCGATGCCATGCGAGGGGATCCCTGGGTCACCGCAGACACCCTGGCTGCCTCCTGTTAGGAAGAGAGCACAGTATCAGCAGAGTAAGCACATCATGGGCTTTGGTCCTTCTTCCCCAACTCAACTGCACGCAGATTTGGATCACGCAGCTGACTCCATTTAACTCCAACCAGCTCTCAGCAGAGGGGAAAGTCCAGACAAACCATTCCCTGACTCCAGGAGCCTGCTGGTTTTAAGCTGGTTGCAAAACATGGCCATAACTCCTGAATCTCAAGACAGGGCCCTCACCAGCTGCAGCAG